ATTCAGATTTTACGAACACCAAATGAGGCACTTACTCGGCCATAGACAGGATTGGCAGCTGCCAGGACGCTGCAGCGGGCATTGAGTCGAGCATGGATGCCGGCCTTGGCGATGGTGACGCGGCCCTGTTCCATGACCTCATGGATTGCAGTCCGATCCATATCTGACATTTTGTCAAATTCATCAATGCAGACCACCCCGCGATCCCCCAAAACCATGGCACCAGCCTCGAGACGACGCTCACCTGAGGGACAGACACAACTTAATATTAAAAGAACAAACAAAACTCTGAAATAGGCAAACTTGTTATTAATGAACCTATGGTTTCTTGGCTTGATGGTGTGTGTGAAACGCAGTACCTGTCTCTTGGTCAGTGGTGACAGCTGCAGTCAGACCTACACCTGATGAGCCTCGGCCTGTGGTGGCAATGGCACGGGGTGCGGTGTGCAGAACGTACCGGAGCAGCTGAGACTTGGCCACTGACGGGTCACCTAAGAAATAGAGAGATTTATGCAGAATTTAAACACATCTTATGCGTTCATTTACTAAGTATTTTACATATACTAAGTATATTGATTGTTTGAGGCTGCCAAGAAAAGTATAATACTCTGTTTTTTTTTTTTTTAAGTATTAAATTTTTCAACTTATCATTTTTTTTTAAATCCAGTAAACTGATCAACGGCGGCATCTGGTGGGTCTGTAAATAACAGCACCCAAAACCGGCATTAAAGTTCTGCACGTTCAGCAGAAAACAGGTCAAAACAAAACTAAATTATTTGACATTGTTGTCTTTATTATTTCATGCTTACTATTTCTCTCACAGAATATGAATGGGTCTTATAGGAAGGGGGAACTCACAAGGTTGGGGCAAAAAGTTTGAAAACGCTTGGTCTAGATCCTCTATATGTTAGCAACTTAAATAATTACATATCATATATGTATTGTTACTTATAAAGTTTATATGATACAAAAAAATTATATCAATAGATCTCTACAGAAAAAAAAAGCTTAGAAAAAAGCAAGAGTATACTTGCGACTTATATAGCTGCAAAAAAGTTATTGTGGAGTTCTCAATCTGATGTCCAGCACAGAGAGCGTTTGTAAAAAATGTGCCTCATTATCTGGGCAAATACCTATGAGAAGTAAGTTGATGTCTCCTCTAATGCGCGAGCCGTTCTCCAAAACCTTCTCCACCCCTCCTAGAAGCATACACAGGATGGCCTTCTTTATGTACTCATGACCATGAATACTGGGGGCCAGTGACCGAGCCAACTGATCAAACAAGTTCTAAAGGAGAAGAAAGACGAATAAGGCATTCATATTAGGAGAACATACACATCTATCAATCAATCCAACTAGTTAAATTCAGCTGAAACTTCCATTCAGAAACACTTCCATTCTTTAACCTTTGAGCGAGATCTGCAGAAGCTCTTGATCTTGGCTACATCATCTGCAGAGAAGTAGTGAGCGATTTCTTTGCTCATCTGTTTGACGTGACAGGCGATCATGATGGTCCTGAACAAACACAAATGGGATAACAAGATATATTAAGGCTTTGACATAAATAGTATCATTTATAATAGTAATACTTTAATAATATTTCAAAAGCATTTAACCGCAGCTGGTGAAGCTGTACCTGAAGGTGCCCGAGGTGAAGCCGCCCTTCTTGCCGGGCAGGCAGCGGTAGGTCCCGATCACCTGCGCACGGTCCCCTGGCTTCACACAGTCCACCAGGTCATTGTCCAGGATGATGTCCACAGAGCGGGGCAGCTGACCAGCAGGAGCTTTCTCTGGCATCTCCTGCACTGTGATGGTCTGATGGTCCTTATAGACAGACAGACCGAACTCAGTCTCCAGTGGATTGTTCTCCTCGTCCTGAATGGATGAAATATAGACACAGAGCATTAATAATAATAATTATTACTGTTGCTGTTGTTATTAAAATAATTAGACACTGAGAGAAATAATAGAAGTATGGTATTAACAATTTCAAATTATTTTAGTATTAATAATAATATTATTAATAATCACTATTGTTATTACTTTGCAGTAATAATAATAATAATGTTATTATTGCTAAAATAATTTGACATTGTTGTCTTTATAATATCATGCTATTTCTCTCACAGAATAAAAACGGATCTTATAGTAATAAACAGCTGCCTATTTCAGGAAGGGTGTCCCTTCGCAAGGTGATCCTGATCATCATATTCTGGCCTCAATATCTTTGCACGATTCCACTAATCTAAGTTGTGAGTTGGGACAAATCATAGTACCTTGGTGGGGTAAATGGCACTTGAAGGGAAGGCTTCCAGAGAGGTCAGATCTGTGTATTTGCGCTCCATGGTCTTCTTAGTGGCTGGGCAGTAGTGCACACTGCGTACTACTTTGGGACGCACCAAAGAGCCTGTGAATACAGACAATCTGATCAATTCACTGTCCATGACATGCAAAATATTCATATCAAATCTTTAAAATGCACATAAAAAGGCTTGGACTTACATTTAGTGACAATGCCCTCCAAACACACCATGCTACCCAGCAGACGAGAGGTCAAGGTTCGAGGGGAGACGTGTTTGCTGCCGAAGCTGCCCTCCAGACCAACGAAGAACTCTTCGTGTTGCTTGGCATAAGTGGCATCTATTGAAGCCACCAGATCTTTCAGGGCCCGCTGGAATGCCACAAGCTCTTCAAAAGCATTATTCAGCAACCTGAGGACCAGAGATTGTTCATTTCAATTAAAACATTGTCACACTTTACATTAGAATGTTAAACTGTATTTGCAGTACATATAGTTAATATGCATGAACATATATTTATATAGCATTTAATGCAGACCTAATTCAATTATGCATGTGTACACTGTAAAGGGTAAGTAAGGGAGGGGGGAAATGGTTTAAAAAAAAAGGTTAAACACACTTGGCTGCTCGCTTTTCGTTGCGGCGGCGCAGGTCGTTGAGGTTCACAATGAGCCTGGATTTGTTTTCGCTGATCATCTGTCGTACTTTGCTCTGATAGATGCCCTGGTCTTGCTGAAAAAGGTCAAAGCCAAAGAAAAAGTTGTCAACGACCAAATCGTGAGCAAAAATACCCAAGAAAAAAAGTTTAAAGTAAGTTACATTATGGTTTATGAGAGTGGGCCTTTGTTCCTATAAGACACATTAACTTCCGATAGTTTAACATTTAATAAGTATATAATAAATGCGTTATGCTTACATCATCGTCAAGAAAATCCAGGTAATCCCTTTGCGCCTCTCTCAGTTCCTGGTCGTCCAAAACTTCAGTAGCCATTTTTGTATATAGCTTCTAAAACTGTTAAGAAATACTGTGCAGAACACCTCGTGTCGATCGCCGTACTGTTGTGTGTCTTTTCGCGCCAACAGGCTCTTCTCGCTGTGGAATCCGACCGCTGATTGGTCAACACACCAGTGACTTATTAACATATTCTGTCTTTTGGGTTGCGGCGTCCAATCAAATCGATAGAGTGAAGATTCGCCCGGCCCTCTTGAGTGTTTCGCGCGAAAAGAGAACCGGTGCTGCGCATGCGTTCACATCTTCAGATGCAGCGTTTTGCGGAGGAGCTGTTGTGGCAAATAATGGTCGTTGAAGAAAACAAACATGAGTCCATGCTGTTTGCTCATTTATCTTGTGCCCATTTGAAGTCACTGTTGCCACTCAGACAGTCTGTAAATCAAATGTACTATTTATTAAACATCATATCAAAGCATTTGACTTCCCTGCCTATCGAGATATGATACAGAGCCGAGGAAAAGAAAAGTCACAAAATTATAAGTTATACACAGTACAAAGTAGGCCTACATAGTGTAAAATACACATCCGTTTTATACGAACATCACTCTTTTCTTACTGGATCAAATTCTCAGGTTGTCTTTTATGCATGATGCACCATAGTTGTTGTCAGGCTACTGGCTACTTTACATTTTAAATATAGGTGGTCTACTACACGTCTTGTTGTTGCCGTCATAAATAGTAATACAATAATGAATAGTTACTTTTAAAGTCAACATCTGAGAAACAAAACAGGAGTCAGAACGATATGTTCAGTCACCATTCACTTTCATACTGAATAGTTAACCCGATTTGACAGATTTTTTTCTAATTCATTTTATTTTGAGAAAATTAGTCTTCCACCATCAAAATGTAGGCTATCTGAATTTTACAATCATGTAAGCAGTTTTTACTGTGATGTTTAAAAAAAAAATTATATTTATATATTTTTTTTCTTCATATTTTAGGTTTTTCGAACACAGTGAACTGAGTCATTTTCTGAGTCAAGAGTCCCTTCAAACACGAGTGATTTGTAGCCCCGCCCAAATTCACAAGTAGCCGACACAACCAACAGGTCTCTCAGCTGAGAGCAGGTTGAGAGTGAGACTTGGACATGGGCAGCACAGTTGCCAAGGTAATAATAATGCAAAAGTCTGAGAACCGGATTTAATCTTTAGGTTGATATGAAACCCCTTAAATCCTTTAAAAAGTGAATAGTGAAGTCTGGGTAGAGTGAAGAGCGACTTCAACCACCAGTGCCGCACAGGTGAGGAGATATAAACTCTTTTTTATTTAACGCATAGTCGCTACAGAAAGGTTCTGGCATTTTTCCGGCAAATGTTTTTTTTCTTTTTTTTCAGAAGGTTGTATAAATGTCACAGCCTATTCTTGCTCTTTCTTTACTTAATAACGCACATTTAAAAGTAGCCTATTTTTTTATTCTTCATTATTTATAATGATATTTTACAAGTTTACAATTAAATATACCAACTTTGGCAAACTGTTCTCAAGCCTTGCCTACTTTAAAATGTGCTGTAAGGTGTGGTTGCAGTAGTCTAGCTAGTATTGAGTTTTAAAAAAAATACAGAATACTAATCACAGAATGCACATATCATTGATAACCTAAACTCCCTATCTAGACAGCGTTTTTTGGCATCATATATGCAACCATTACTTATACCATCTATAACCCCCAACAGTGCTTTAGTAGGCAACATTCTAGGTTTCAAGACACAGCTAGTGTTTTAAAATTGAGAAACGTTGATTTGGAGGAATATACGGCAGGGCACAATGTGAGTACTTGGCAAACACAATGATCAATTCAACCAGGCCGGATATTAACTTATCAAGTGTAAGAGGTTTAGTTCAGCAAGAACTGGCTCTTTGTCTGGCAGAGCAGAGGTATGAATCATGGCATCCTGATTTGTCAGTATAATTTATCCTTGTGCTGTTTTCTGCTTCTCGTTGCAGCTCATTTTTGTTATTGATCCAGAGTTTCACCATGCCAAGTGGAGTTTTGGGCCGTCTTAGTGCATTGACATTGAGTATACAGCAGCTGGGTCAGTTACCACACTTGTCGAACTGGCTGCCCAGTCTACCTTTACCTCAAGCCACCGTACTCGCCTCTGATGTGCCGAGCCTGTTTCGTGAGCCCTACATCTTGTCTGGCTATCGTCCTGTGCGTCAGGAATGGCTGAGCTACTTCTGTAGCCTCTTTCAATGTCACAATGAGTCGCTCAATGTATGGACACACCTTCTGGCGATCCCTGCGCTTCTACTTCACTTTTTTTTATTCGCAGGGGCATCGGGGCTAACGCTCAATGTGGCGTCTTTGCCTCTGTTTTTGTACATGTTGTCGTCACTTACCTACCTCAATTTCAGCGTGGCCGCCCACCTGCTTCAGTCACACTCTGAGCTGGCCCATTACTCCCTCTTCTTCGTAGACTACGTTGGCATAGCTGTTTACCAATATGGCTGTGCACTAGGCCACTATTTTTACTGTTCTGAGCCAGAATGGAGACACAGCCTAGTGGGAGCTTTGTTTCTACCCGGTGCCGCGGTGCTGGCCTGGTTGTCCTGCGCCAGTTGCTGCTACGCCAAATTCCGTTACCGCCGTCCATACCCCCTCCACCGGAAGATCTGCCAGATCATTCCCACCAGCCTGGCTTACTTGCTCGACATAAGCCCTGTTGCTCACCGCCTGGTCACCAGATCTTGGGACGAGCCAGTGTTGGTGTTTCACGCCCTGCAAGTGGTGTTTTTTGTGTTATCGGCTCTGTTTTTCTCTTGCCCAGTTCCTGAGCGCTTCTTTCCAGGGAGATGTGACATTGTGGGCCACGGACATCAGATCTTCCACATCTTCCTGGCCATGTGTACTATGTGCCAGCTGGAAGCAATGTTTAGAGACTATCTGGTGCATCAGCAGTCTGGAGTAGGTGTGCATGGAGAACACTTCATTTTACTGGCTGGAGGATCCTTCTTCTTATTGGTGCTGTGCTGTGTTCTGACTGCAGTTCTAATGACAGGAGCTGTGCAAAGACAGCTGAAGAAAAAAGACTGCTAAACATTTTGAGAAGATTTTATTTTAGTTATATAGTACCACAATGTATTTATTAATATAAATGTCAAAATTATAATCATTTTATTTTAGTGCATTTATTATGTCTCTTTCTTTTTTTTTTACTTTAAAAGTCCCACAATCACATTTTGAAATCCCACACTTTCAGGAGAAATGGTACAAAAGCTGTCACATGGGCGGTTTATACATGGTAGACACGAATATTAAAGGGGTGTACCCTTCATGGGGTAAATAAAGTACAAAGGTGTAGCTTTTTAAAGGGTTGCACCCCAGTGACAGCTTTTGTACCATTTATCTGAAATGGCAGATATCAGCCTCGGAAGCATTTTACTTTAGTAACTATACTTTTACAAATCAAATCAAACATAAATACTAAGTGGGGATTTCCCCACAAATGAATTCACTGCTGACTGAGTATAATCTACCACTTAGCCGACATTCCTCTCAAATCCAGTATGGCTTTTAAACAACTGGCCTATTTACTTGAAAACTGTTTGGAGTCTGAGACAGGAGTTTTTCGATGGCAAAAACATTCAAATTATTTTGCACTCAGTGGGGCAGAAATTCAGTTGAACCCTGGTGCCTTAGATACTGCTTTGTACTTTTGATTGTGCTTTGTATTTTAATAAATGTTTACATTAAAATCAATAAACCTTTGGTGAGTTTTGATTTTCGTTAACAAAGTTGAATGACACATATTATTTATAATTAAAAACTTTACCATGCTATTTCATTTAGTAATTCTTTTAGTGTTTCAGAGCAGCCACATAATTAAAATACAGTTTATTATACCTCCTTTGTCCATTGGGAGGCAGCAGTGTTCCGTTTAAAAACGGGGGGAAAATGAATGTTTGTTGAAATGTTTTAGCCTAATTATTTAAATGTAATTCAAAACAGAACTAACCATATATCTATAAAAAATCTGAAAAAGAAGGATATTGCTTTATACAGCTAATTACACGAACAAGTAAAATACAAGTGAAGTGAATTCTTTTGAGGGATATAGGGAGATACGGATTAGGAACTGGAGTGGCTGCTGGAATCCAGAATGAGGAAGTGTGACTGTCAAATCCCTGTTTGATAAGTGTGTTGCTGCCAGTAAAGACAGGATGATGACAGCTGATCTAGGATCGTGTAACTGAGGTCAAAGGTAAAGGGAGATTCTCTTTTATTCTTTAAGGCAGACTGATAGAAAAAGGCTGTTTATAGGAAGTTTCTAAAACAAATCTCTCACAGATCCAAGGAATAAAATAATTTTCATTTATATTCAGTTTAAAGATTTGTAGTTTAATGTACATTTTAAATTGTCTTAGTATCACTTTTTACTGTTTTTTTGGTATTACTTTTCATGCATTTTTAAAATAGAAATAAACATTGCCGTAACAATTGCAGTCTGTTTGTGTGAAAGAGAGGTGTGACTTGTACATGTACTCACCTGTGTAGCTAATCATTTTTGTGAGAACAGCAATAACAGCTTACATTATATTCGCTTTCATTACTTTTGCTCATTGGCCCATCAACAATCTCATAGCTTGTTTTGATTGAGAATATCAACTATGCCAGATTATTGATGTTAGTTTCCTTCTATTCTTACCTTTCAGCCATTACAGAAACTGGATGAAGAGTCATGGCTCCTGTTGAGGAGGGTCTGGTTCCCTGGTTATCAGGTTGTTCTTCATCTCTTCAGATTAGTATTGTGTCAGCCTTCTTCATCATCATTTATGTCACACTCTACAGCCTTTGTACAAGCTGTTTCAGGTAAGTCTCTTACTTTTTTGTCTTTCACTGTATATTTAAATGCATATTTAGGAATTCATCATTCATTATCACATGTGCTGATTCAAAACACACCCAAGAGAAGGGAGTGATTGTAACAGAAGCTGAATTGCTGTGAGTAAATGGGTGATCTCAGTGGAATGTGCAATGACAGGTTCAGACGCACAAGTCACCAAGAGCCCAATTCACATGCACAGCATGAATATCGTTTGTGTTTGTGTTTGTGTTATTGTAATAAAAGTAGAGACCTGTTTGTCAACCACATATGTAAAGCATGAAGATGGAATACTAATAATAGCCTATCATGTTTGCATGCAAAAACCGTGCACTGTGGATGCTATATCTATAACATTTGAAATAGTGACTTTTCTTTTTATGTCTCCAGTATGTTTGACAGTGCATCATCCAGCCATTTACACAGACAAGAGAAAAGAAATATTCCATTGGCATCTCCACAAAATGTAAGAGACCGACATAAGACACCACACATATTCAGAAAACATTACATACATTTGTATTACTGTTGGCTGTTGCTACACTCTAAAAAATGCTGGGTTGTTTCAACTCATGTTTGGGTCAAATGAACAAACCCAAACCATTGGGTTTAAAATTTTATTTAAAAATATAAAGCAACGGTTGGATTTGTCCATTTTGGACCTAACCCGTTTTTTAGAGCATTTTTTAGAGTTTGGAATATTGTTCAAAACTGAAGTTCCCTGTAAAAATGATTTGCCTGGTTGCTTAAAATTAGATCTACTTTCCCAGTGTACTATATATGACTGTTAGCATATACAGTATAAACAAAGCTTTTGTTGAGTAGTGCGGACCACTGTTGACAATTTGCTTTAGAAGGAAGAAACTTTTTCCTGCTTTGAGACCAATTGCAATAGACTGTTGAACCATATTCATCCTATTATGGTCAATTAAAATCACTTAGTGGTAAATTGCAGCGAATTAGCTAGAGAGGTCAAGTAATTTCCAAAGAGTTATTACATTAATCTTGTAAGGGAAATGACACTGTAATGGAGAGCAGATAGAGAAAGCTACTAATGATAAAAAAAAAAAAAAAATTAATCACCAAGGACTGGCGTAATATAGCATGTGACGTGGAATGGGGAAAAAAAGTAAATAATAATAAACAATTATGTCCTCATTGCAGAAACTACCTGAGTCCCAGGGTGCTGAATATATCCCAGCTGCCAAGGATCTATCTGATTCTGATCATATATACTCGGAGGCTGAACTGAATGAGGAAAATCCTTACGAGTGCATTAGAGAGCCTCCATATGACAAAGCTAAAGGGGAGAATGAGAGCCCTTCCACAGCAATGACAAAGCCTGATGATAATCACTCTGTCTCAGCCCTCAACAAACAGGCAGTGGAGCAGCGTCTCTCTTCACCTCACACCCATGATCTACATTTGACCGGCTCAGTTGTTTATGCTGCAGTGAACTGGAAAAACAAAAGCACAAAACCTCTGTTTTATACAGATACTGTGGTTGAAATGAGTGATATTGCTAGGGAGGCTGTCCCTCCCATTCCAGACAAACATTTCTAGTATGACGCAAAAGGAACATTTTCATTTACAATGCAGCATTTATATTTATGCTTTTTAAGTCTTTATACGTCGTCTTTATATCTTTATAATTGATAAGTCTTAAAAACAAACCTGCCATACAAAAACATTTAGATTAATAAATAAATAGTATATTTGTTTTAGCATCACTGCAACTTCACACAAAACTGTATAAAGGAATAAGCCAAACACGTCTGGGTTATTGTAGGTCAGCATGAGTCACATGATATAATGCCTCGAGCCAATACCCAGACTGGATTCAGAGACTGAAACCCAACATGCTTGTGATGTCCAGACCTAAAATCCCCTTTGGAGGATGAAGTCTGTCGGACACGGCGACAGACAGAAGAAAGCTTATAATCCCCAGACATCATTTACATGATGAACGTTTTCTTTCTAAATGTCTGTTTGCAAATACACAATGCTGAATATTTAGGAAATAGACCAAATGATATAGGTGAAAGGTGACACATGTCAAGGGACTGCTTTTGAATCTGCAGGCAGACTTCTGTCTAAACTGTACATTTAATTTAAAATGACTTATCCTGGGGATACATTTGTATCTATTTTAAATATGGAAATATATAAGATAAATGTTGATATTTGTTACATGCTGTTTTCATGGGACTGTGTGTGTGTGTGTATAATAGTGTGGAATACTTTTATAATTTATATCATTAATATTGAAAATAAAAGATATATAATTCGAACAAAAAAGTGATTATTGTAATGTGGTAGAAAAACACAATGTTTTATGTTCTTGTTTAAGAAACACATGATGGAACAGACCAATAGGATCCGTTTTTAGCTATTTAGACAATAACACTGTGATTCTCTCTCTCTCTCACACACACACACACACACACACACACACGCATGTTGTGTTTTCATGTTTTATGGATATTATATTTATAAATATATTGATTTTTATGCTGTACAAAATTATGTTTTATTAACAAAGTTCGGGAGGAGCACGTTCAGATAATTAAACCTAATTAAACACGAGTGGAGCACACTCTGTTAATCAACCCAATCAACGAGTTAAGCGGTGTATACAGCAAACTTACCTCCGTTCGTTGACAGTTTAACAGCATCCCTCCACCACCCCATCTCCTCACTTCTAGTCCTAATATTCTTACAACAACGGGGGGAGTACTCTGGGTTCGGGCAAAAAATCCGAGCTCGGAGCCCTCCCCCCGGACAGCACGCCAAATACGCATAATCTTTACTCTGTTTAATTGATGTAAGTGTGAACTCGTGAAATGTGTATTCTATCCCCATACGCTAAACCTACATCACAGAAAATGTTCGGCATTTTTCCATGTTCAACAAACATCGCTTATATGATTTATAAGCTGATTTCCTCATGGGGACCAAAAAATTTTCCCACACGGACAGAGATTTCGGATATTGCCTTGCTTGTGGGGACATTTTGTCCCCGTTAGGCTACATATTTTTTACCGGGACCATACTTGTTTGTGTGGCCTCCATAGGCGTAATGGTTTTTATACTGTACAAACTGTATATTGTTTTCAGCTAAACCCACCCTCATCCTACCCATCAAAACTTTTGGCATTTTTGTTTTATAAAAAAACACACACCGTTTTGTATGATTTTAAGCCATTTGGTTTACAAGGACACATGAAGTGCCCTTGTAAACCCTGTTTACCTTAATACCCGTCATTATTGTGTCCTCAAATCATATTTACAAGAACCCACATGGTCACCGTGATTTTGCCAAGTAAGACATGGTCCTGGTCTGGATCAACATATTTTGTTGATCCTGGATCAACATTCCGGTCCCAAAATGTCCCAATCCTACCCCTAAACCTAACCCTACCCATAACTTTTCCCTAAAATCAGAGGGTAATGAAAGGTGAATGACACTGATGTGTAAGTACTTCACCCTGGTTCTAAGCCTAAACTTGACAAAACTGTAAACTTGTCCCTCAAATCTGATTGGTTGATTGGAAAGTTGATCCAGGATCAACAACGATGTTGATCCAGGAACATGTGGTAGCCTACTTGGTGAACCGAACACACACACAGTCTAGATGTATAAAATAAAGAAATGAAAAAAGTGTGGAGCACTTTATTATAGGGTATTATTAGGCTATATTATTAAAATAGCCTACATGAAATAAACCCCGCACAGTTCAAAATTTTGTAATAATACTACGAATAGTGACTGACTATATAGAATAACACATTTGTGTAGCACCGTGTTAAGCTATATAAACAATGTTGTGAGCTGTTGCAGTCAGGGCACGTAAACCGACGCGACTCCCTCGCTCCCTTGCTCCCTCCCTCACTGACTCACTCACGGCAGGAAAAGAGGAGCGCGCGTGACGTCAGCAGCAGGCAGCGACTGCATCTCTCTCTACGAAAACATTCTAGGTAACATCATTAAACACGCCGGTTTTTCATTGACGGTATGGCAGATACGCAGGTTATTTTATGTTATTGCATGTTTAAAGACTTTTCCCCACTATAATCATGTAGCCAGTGTTTATGTGAACTGTTCTGATTTCAATCCTACTGCGGTCGTTTCGAGAGTACGGTGTTTAAAATGAGCTGTTTTAGCGTGGCTATCTAATGCATGTCATTTAAAAGATTTAAGTCTGCATTTTCGAGAGTAATTTGCACAAATGTGATTTATCGTGTATTGCAACTGTCTGTTGTTTTGCCTATTAGATTGTGTACATTAACGGGGGTTGAGCAGAAACTCGTGTACGCACACGTTGTTGGGCGAAGGTGTGTCCTTCGGGGAACCGAGTCAGCCAATCAGAGCACAGCTTCCGCCCCCAGTGGGAAGGTTGTTTTTTGCTGGACGTAAACGCCCATTACGAGCGTCCCAGCTAAAGTATGGATCTGGATTAAACAAATGGCACGGTTTAATTGAACTGTTCCAAATATTCAAACTAAATCCTGGAAGAAATGACAGCAAAGGAATATCGTTACATATAAGGCAAGCATGTTGTCGGCTTTGTGTAAATGAAACGCTGTCAGCAACCATCTTATTTTCTGCCATCTGTGATCGAGACAAGAATCAACACATAAGTGTAAAGGCGGACATGAACTGGTAAATAAATACGTTAAAAAACAACCGCAATTCAAATAGATGCAAGAAAGAAAAGCTGACAAATAAATAGATTAAAAAACGATAGATTAGTTGACATAATGATGTAACTTACAGAAAGGAACTCTGCAAGAATCTTGTGAGCGAATGGATTCAAAACATTCGAGTCACTGAGATGAATCCTAACTCCTTTGCGGGATTTGGATCTCTCCATGATTTCACTCCCTAAATCCGGAGTTACAGTATCTGAGAGGCTCACAGTCAGGGGGTGTGTTGCCCTAAAAAAAAAGTAAAGCCACCGAGCAATATCCCACTGCGTTGCTTGTCCATATGCAAAAATCTACCGCGTGTATTCGATAAAGGTATTTTTACATTAAAATGTTGGCTTTTTCATGCAAATCCCATATCTGCTTATTTAGGTTTCCCCAATATTCCCTAATTTCGGGTATGAGAGCATTCGTTTTTTGTTTTGTTTTTAAAGAGATTGATATTAGTAAATTTATTATTTTTGCACGTTTTCATGGCCTTGTGGCGTTGTCGCAGAGAATGGTGGCTATTATTAGCCAGCTTGGCCCTCAGATTAAAACATGCAATATTAAATGAACGGTGTTGTTATAACATGCTTTTCCCTGTTTTACAGTTTTTTTTTTTTTACTGAGAGCCAAAGCCGACTGTTTAGCTGAGAGCATGGCAGCGGTGAGACCCAGAGCAGGACTGGACACAATACCGATGGGCACAGAAGGGCAGGACGGATTGGTGTGTATCACAATAATTTATGTATAGCCCCTGCAACATACAAATAGAAGGAGGGAAGTGTGGATAGTCTGTATATAATTGATTGTTTCCAATCCAGCAGAGCTACATCCAGTGTTGTGGGCAGGAAGGGGTGAGCATGCAGAAGAATATGAATTCAGGACCCGGGATCGAGTGGTCTGCTGATGTCAGTGCACAGCAAACAAACCTATCATTCTCACGCTCTTCCGGTGTGGACTTACCTTACAGGTTAACCTACAGATCTTTGTTTGTTGTCTTGCACACAAAATCTTATCACTCTAATCCTAGCTCTCTTAGAGAAGAATTTATCTATGTGTAAAGTGTAATGTTATTGTGTGCATCATGTTCTTCATAGATTTATAATGCAGTGTAATGTAGCGTGAACAGTTTTCTTACTCTCTGCCATATCAGAAGTCCTGAGTCGGTGGAGATGGATGAGATCATGGCTGCAATGGTGCTCACCAGTCTGTCCTGCAGTCCAGTGGTCCAAAGCCCCCCGCAGAGGGACCTCCTACCAGGTGAACTGGCTTCTTTTGGAAACCATGTCTTACCAAACAAGGAACACTTTTTCAGTGTATGCTTGCTTGACAAACCAACGCAGACTGTTTATTTTAAACAAAATCTAACCAGATTGAATTTAGTAGACTTTTTGTTTTTATTTTCGCTCTTTGAAATATGTTTGTTTGATCATTTTCACCTTTTTAATATACGCTTATATAACAATTATTGTATTGTATTTTTATTGTACAGCATAACACACAACCCAAAAATGAATGTAGCAATTCTATGGTTATTCCTGTATTATTTACACTTTTCCTCTCTTTTTACCATAGGGGACATGGAGTGTTGCGGAGGTGAGCTGTCTGACAGCGGCAGCAGCGGTTACTGGAGCTGGGACCATGGCAGTGTAAGCCCAGCCCCTTCTCCATCGGTCACTGAGATGGACAGGAGCTCGGGCCAACTGACAGACGAAGGACTGCACATGGAGCTGGAACAAGCCGCATGTGAGGAGCCGGAGGCCAGGAGGTGCAAGGTGAGAATGAGAAGACTGTCAGATTGCTGAACCTGAGGGCGAATGGACAGCGTTTTTAGCTGATGTTGGAAAAATACATGTGAGTCACACTTTGTTTTTCTGTCTCACTCTCAGAGCTTGAGCAGGGGAGCATACAGGTGTCTGTGGCCTGGCTGTGGGAAAGTGCTGACATCACGGTTCGGAATGAAACGGCACATTCGCATTCTTCACCTGGGGTGAGTATGTCCGCGCATACCGAATTCTTGGAACAATTGAGATGGCACAGAACCGTTATGATGCATCTTTAACCCTAAAAAGTCTGCTGTATTATATCTTATATCCAACTATCATTCAATATGAGCCATGAAAGCCTGGTGTATCAAATATGGTACTCAACAAATAAAACATATATACAAACTTTCAATAAACTATAACATTAAAAAAAGATTTTACGGTAATGCATATTACTAGGATACTGGCTGTTTATTAGTACTTATAAAGCACATATTTATGCCTTATTCTGCATGACCATATTCTACCTCCCTTAATCCTGCCCAATACCTAAACCTAACAACTCATTTACTAACTATTAATAAGCAGTAATTAGGAGTTTAATGAGGCACAAGTCATAGTTAATAGTTAGTTAACTCTTTCCCCACCATTGATGGAAATTTCCGTTATTTGCAAGACAACGCTTCCTCGCCATTGACGGACTTCACTGTTATACAGTAGGGGGTGTTATTGCGCAACTTCTGAAACGGGACTCAATCTCCTGATCAAAACACAGGCAAAAAAGAAGCAGACACAAATTATATCATATGTAAGCAGATGCATGTGTAAAA